TTTTAAGCCGATGGTGTTGTTGAGGCCAAGGACTAGACCCACAGTGGCAGCAGCAGCCGGTGGTTGTCCTGACAGGATAGGCCACCTTCCCTACTATCCTACTTCAGTGTCAGGACCATCGCCCTACCAGTATCGAGGGCAGTCACCAGACAGCAGTGACAAGCACCCCCTAACACTATAACCCCCACCCTTCTTTTCAAAGTTTTTGGGTGGGAAGCACCATCCCTACCCTGCCACTAACACCCCAGTGTGACCAGCACTCGGCAACTTGGACGAAGAACCCCCTAACACTACAACCCCTACCCCACTTTTCAAAGTTTTTGGGTGGGAAGTACCGCCCCCCTCTTCAAAGTTCTTGGGCAGAACGTCAGCGTTTGCAGAATGCCAGGTACGTTGTTGTCAATGTCTGCTGAAGCCCGTGCTGAAACCCCACCACTAACACCCTCACCATAACCCCCCCAACCCCCCAACCCCCCAAACGAAACTTCTCTGTTCAAAGTTTTCTTTGCGGATTCGGGGAGATCTCGGTGAGCGCAGTCCAACCATGTTTTCAAAAAAAAAAAATTTTTTTTTTTGACCCAGTTTTGGACCCAACCGGAATTCCGGTTGGACCACCGGGGGCCTTTTCCCACCACCTAAGTCTGCTCACAGTGCCAGCAACTTGGTCCAGCCATGAGAAGAAGGCAATTAGAGTTTTGTCAGATACCAGGTTGCTATGCGGCCAAACTTCAAACAGAATCTCACAATGCACCGAGAGCAGACAGTGTCACATCGAGAGCTCACTTCACTACAAGCGAGATGGAAACCAAACATAAGATATGACACGTTTGGAATATTGCTCAGAAATCAGAGTCTTATACAGCAAGTTCGTGTGTACACAATTTGGCGGCAATGGCCGCCAGACAGCAGCAACCAAGGATGAACTCTTGCTCTCTCTGTCTCCCTCTCTCTATCCCCAAGCCTCACTCCCTCTCTGAGTGTCTTCTTGCTCTCTTCTACCCTAACTACCTATGGCACCCCATGCCAGTTGACTACCA